CTCTCTCTCTCTCTCTCTCTCTCTCTGCGCTTCTTTCCACGATCGGTTCGTGTCCCTGAGCGCTTACAATGAGAAGCAATTGACTTACGACAAGTTGTATACTCGGGATTGTTCATTGGTGTGTACGGGCTCGTCGACTGCTAATGTCATTAGTATCGTAACTGTAGAACATGTTTTTTTGTGCGGAAGATGACGGTGATCTTTTCCTGCTCGTTGGCTAGATTCGGTGCCGGCCTATACGTCGGCTTTGGGAGTTTTTTCCTAACCAGGTATCTCCCGCCAGTGGGGCACCACTCCAGCCGGATATAAGTTCGAACCTCCCGACTGATCTCCCGACGTGAGGTAGTGTAGTGCATGTGTGTGTTTGTGTGTGTATGTGTGTGTGTGTGTGTGTGTGTGTGTGTGTGTGTGTGTGGTGTGTGTGTAAGGATCAAGAAAAGAGAAGCGTGCCTGATCCATGATTCCTTTTTTTGAGTTCTGATCCGACATTCGTCAGGTGTTCGGAGAAACCACAAAACGTATCGAAAACGGTTTATTATTACATTTTAAATAAAAACGCATGCAAGTAAATATAAGATTTAAGAATTATGAATTAATACTATATCTAAGTACATAATAGTGATAAACTCTAAAATAAAATACAATTTCTATAAATTAAATGTTTAGTGCAAATCGTTAAAAACAAGACGATATAATTAAATGCATAGCAAAATATATGTAAGTGCGCAGGGGCGTAGAAGGGAAGGACAAAAAATAACAAAGAAAGAAGAAAGTGTAAAATTGATACCTTCAAAAGCAAGGGGAATATGTCAAAAGAAGGAGATAAGAACCAAACCAGACGTTTACTTTTAATATTCACTGGAATGTAATTTAATTTTTCACAACACATTGTTCTATACATTTATGAAAATGTTTGATTACATATTCATATTAACAGACTGATATATTTTAATATTAAAAAGGATCTGAAATCAAATGAGGTTGTTTGCTAGCTTCCAGATTTAAAATACAAAGACTACGGAAATAAAAAAAGTGTAATGTTTTCAGGCTGTGGCATTAAATAGAATTTAATTTTGAAACGGAAACCTTGATGTTATGTACGTATTCCGTCATTTTCTGCTTCGAGCAACATGATCTCTGTACGCGTACTTTAGGAACAGTCTTGGGAGCAAACAGAGTAGTGTTGTTTTGTAATAGCGGCAACAGGATCATTTTTATTCCTGAGAAGTCCTTTTTTAAAATCAATATTTCTCGTTTTTTAACATGGACATATGATCTATTACATTATTTTTTTAATTTATTCAATATATTGGGAATAAAAGCAATCAAAATCGTATTAAGTGTTTTTTGATTATCGTCAAGCAAGGCAATACACGATTTGTATATCTCGAATCAACTTGATTCATAATGCATTATATTTTTATATAATTATGATATATAAATTATATAAAATATTTATATAATTAATATTTTTATGTAATTTTAAATAACAACTTTGTTACATATGTATGTTAATATCAGGCTACCTAAGGAAGTGAACTACGCGCGTCAGAAAAATACAATTTATTTAGTGGTTCGGTCTGTTGTTTTATGAAAGAAATACATAATCGTGATATTTTCTGCTTATATCTACTGATATACACCTATTATGACTTTTTGATTAAACACAGGATAATAGACAATTCCTGATTTACATTTTGTACTATGGTATTGTTACATCAAAATGTCATGGGTAAATACATTATATGTATAAAAATTACGAGTTATTTGTTTGAGTTATTTATCGTCAAAACTGTGACATAGTGGGAAGACTATTTGAGCAAATTTTGTTGAGCTCCAGGATCCTTAGTGTTGAGCATTCATTGTGATACGTTTTACGTATTAATTGGTCTCAATGAATTAATTAAAGATTAGTTCTGAAATTCGGCGTTTGCTATTCCGAGCTCGCACATTTCCTCTTCAACATGCTATGACGAATCTTAGGATGTACGACGCCATCTGCAGGCGCGCGGACGAACTACTTGCACTTTTTACACCATTTGCCATCTGTTGGCGCGCAACGGAACTACTGTACAGTTTACAAATTCGTGTCTGATAAAACGATAATCACACTAAAATCTGTTATATTTCTATCGTTCAGAATGTGAAGCAATCGGCCAACGTCTGTGAGAACATTTTTTAAATATATTGTATTCGAACAGTTGATAAAACAATTTACAGGTTTTAAATGGATAGAGTTACAAGCAATACAATCAAGTACCAGTTAGAAAACAGTTTTTACTATGTATAACTCAAAAAGCACTGTGGTTGTTGCAAATAAACTTACCCAACTTTACTCATTTTTTACGTAAGGGGGAATCGCCACAACCTCATTTATATGAATTTTAGACTTAGTGCAAAGGTGTTATGGGAAAGCTGAGGGGGGAAATGTGTTATCTTATGATTAAGTGTTTATTATTGTCAAGGAATCTGAATTGAATCCCCGAGAACCGGGAAATTGACAAGGAACTGAGAGCGAAAGATGTCTTTATGAACTCGCATTTTTAAGGCAAGTGGAGTTTAAGGAATCGGGAGCATAGAGCTTGTTAGGGCTGGGCGATGTGGTAGTGGAGATACGTGTAAGGGAATACCCACAAGTCGGTGCTGGATTTCTCGTTCCTACTGAGGAGGTACTCTTCTACCTCCCTGGGTATAAAATGGACTGCATATACATGACTTATGTCCACAGCAGTTGTCGCGTCCGGAAAAACCAAATAATCAGACTATACTCCCAACACGTCTCCAAGATGTGTATAGAGGAGAACGTCTTAAGTGTGTGTGTGTGTATAAGTATTAAGAGGAAGGGACAAGACTGAAGACGGAAAGATCCCGGTTAGTCTGCGATCAGTTTGTTAGGGTACTTCTCCCACACTCGCCTGGTATTGATTGTTAAAACAGGAAAAACTACCGATTAGTGTAGCCGACCGCTAGACTTTTTCTCTGCTCAGCGATAGAATAATACCTATTTATCTAGGTTCACACCAAGTCTCCACCATCGGGGCCCAAACCTTGTGACATCTCTGTCACAGACTTTGCAGCGGCAATAGTTGTTAGCAAAGATAACTATTTTGAGAGCAAACTGAGTGCTCCCTAGTTTAATATGAATACATTTCAGAGAAAAAATTCAGTTATTCTGAATGTTATATCCCCAAAAATAAATGCACGTATTTGTTGTTTGAGGTCAAATTAATTCGACTTTTGCCAGCTAGCTTTGTTCTCAGGACTGAACTCTCTTTTATTTTAATTATTATCTTCACCTAGGGGTAAAGGAGACTTGGTGACTAGCATCACGAATTTCCATCACTGTCCCTAACTTATTTGGACAACCTGAGCCTTTTGTGTCACAAAGCTTTAGAAACTGATACCATTTGAATTAGAAAGTAACAGCGTCATTTTTGCCCCAGCCAGGAATCAAACCTAGGACAACGTCACAAAAAGCTAGCGCATTGTTCATGAGCCCCCACATCCTTTTCCGCTCTTCACGAGACCTGTGAGAACGCCGGCGCACACGAGTGGTCCTCCTGAGACCCTTTTAAGAAAAGAATAAACAATATGTCGTAAAAAAATGTTTAAGAGGAAGTGTAAAACTGACTGTTTTTAAATGTTCCAAGCGACGTATTTATATAAATAGCAACATTTAGAAAGTCTAAGGTATGTGCATGAATTATAATTAAGGGGCTTGGAATTGAATAATGATGAGCCACCTCAACTAAAGGGTTGATATCTCAATTTTGCTTGTTGAATAGCTTACCATTGTCTAAACCCAAGCGCCTCATTTACAAACATTCCGTGTAAGATAAATGAGTTGTCGTAACTACCGAGTAGTTGAAAGATTGTTCTTGTGAGAGTTTGGACATTCACATTGTTGTCTAGTTACGTTGAATTAATTAAACTTTTCTTTGATACCTTTCGAGAATAAATTGGTTATTGAGTTGAAAACTCGTTGAGTTTTATTTTAAGCTGCGCAATAATGTGATATTTTTGGTCAACTAGTAATTGAAGAAAATATTACGGAGTAACTTCCCAAACAAGGTCTAGAATTGCTGGATGCCTCTGATCTTGAACTCCGGTGTGCTGCAACTCTCGGATTGGAACTGTTTCCTTAGGTTAGCTAACTTTCATCCGAACCACTAAGTTACTGCAAGTCTTAAGAGCTATTTTTGAACGGAGAAAAGTTTTGCATCAGCGTGACTCTTGGAGTTAAATATAGAAGTATTTTCTGTACAAGTAATACATTAACAAAAGTGTTTATGATACCGAAATAAATATTAAAAAAGAAACTGAAAATAGAAATTAAAAATGTCCTATTAAATTCTAGAAGAATATTACCTTCAACGTCACAATGCTAAAATTAGAAGGTTAAAAGAGTTCATAGCTACGACACTAGATTTGAAAATACTTTTTTCCCTTTGAGTTCATGTGCGATCAAAATGTACGAAAATATCGAAAAATACACTTAATACAATTCTCTAAATGCTTGAGAAAGCATGGTGCTTTGCCTCATTTTTTAAAGTTTAAAAAGAACCAAAACTTTTGAAAAATAGTCATATGTTGTACAATATGATAATGAAAATACAGGAAACAAATACTGCGTTATAGGTGCAAACAATAGAACACGAACATGAAATTTACAAGGAGACTACATGTGTAGAAGTGACGTGTTTTTTCCTAAATATCTACAGACTTTGGAAATTAATTTTGATGCACAACAATGTATCAAAACTAGCAGTTTTTAATTGAGAAGTGTTAAATAAAATTTATTGTAAATAATTATAATCAAATCCCAGAGAATTCATTAATTTCACTGCACAGATTGTCCGCCTGCCGATATTATTTCTGAAGATTTTGGTATCAGACTCACTCCTGAACCTTGTTTGAGCCATAGTGTAAAGTTTTACTGCCGATTTAACTTTTTATCTTATTCACTTTTTCTTCCTTTTTCAAACAACTGTTGTGTCAAAGTACTGACACCCTTGCCATCCCTTGAAGCGCGTATCAGTAATTTTAACTGAGCTCAGAGCGAAATTTAGTTCTAGCATATATTGACGTGTTTCACTCGAGTTCCACTTTTGGTTGGCGCTTCCTTTCGTAGGTCTTCGGTCATGACTTTCTTGATCCAACTCCAGTAGTATCGAACATCGGTGTAAGTGCCTGGGTAATGGGGCAGGCCACACCCTTTTCCGCTCTTCACGAGACCTGTGAGAACGCCGTCGCACACGAGTGGTCCTCCTGAGTCACCCTTTTAAGAAAAGAATAAACAATATGTAGTAAATAATTTTTTTTTAAGAGGAAGTGTAAAACTTACTGTTATTAAATAATATTTCACGATTTGTGTCATATAATAATTGAAGATTCCCGTTGAGAATAATGAATATTATTAATTTCAAAATGTTCACAGAAATTCTTAACTGATTAGGATTTTGTTTTGAATGAATGGATTTATTTCTGAATGAACAATTAGAAAAACTCTTAAGTTTTTAAGAATAATCTAATTTCGCCAATTCATTGTTATCAATATTATTTTTCTGTAGAACATATACAATGCAGATAAAGAGCAACAAAAACACACACGTTTTTTCATTCCACAGGTCGAATGTAGCGGTAAACTGAAGTTAGAAATCTTGTAAATGTATTTCTTATTGTTATGAACATATTTATCACTCTAGAAAATAATTTATCCTCGGTTTATTTTCACTATCTTACCCTGCTATTTATTTCAGTCTCTTTAATCTTTTTAAAGTTAAAATTTTAATTTTAACCCTCGATTTTGCACTGTTACTGAAACCGGTACTTTTGATATATCGCAAAAACAGGAAACTATTAACGATATGTCACTGTAGAAAAAAAACTACACAGTTTGATTTTAAGAATGAATGCAGGTCAAGTTTATTGAGAAAAGATGTAACAACACGTCGATTTTGTTATAAAGCGAAGTACAACATTTTTTCAACATTGTTCTTTTTCAGATAGTTTTATTAAACTCTATTTGGGTAATTTTATGGTAGTTTGCCGGTGGCTACAATAAATAGAAACTGGGTTCGGTGCGTTTTTATTTGTTGGCCTTCTAAATTGTGTAATTTCATTTGCTGGAAGAAATTGATTCTATGGAAACAATATAATAATCACTATTCATCCCACTGTTTTATATTATTTTAGTTTCAATTTCCAAGATTTTACCAACATGTGTATTTTTCTTTTCTTTGGTTTTATTATAAATTTTGCATCATCTATTGTATTTTAATGTTTAAGATTTTAAATTCAAACTTACCTTATTTGACCAAATTGAAACCATAGTCTTTACTTTTGCGTTGATGGTAGAATTACAGTCAATATTTTTTTAAAAAATATTAATTTAAAAAAATACCTTGCAAGCATCTGCTCCACCTTCCTCATAGAATCCCGCACACAGCATATCAACGGTTGATGAATTCGGGTACGCCTTCCGACAGTGTTCGTGTGACACTATGGGTACTTTCGTATACCGCATGAGATCTTGATCGTCCATCGGGTTCTGAAATCATTAGCTAATTATTTCTCGGAGAATAGTCTATATTCAAGTTGTCATGTAATTTTAAACACTTTCAAAACAAGTCAGATTTTTGTCAATATTCATTTTGATGAAGCTTAGTCATTTACATTGGTCAATGACAAACTTATTACAAACGTGCATTGAGACATTAATAATTAGAAATTTCTATAATATTTTAAAAATATGAATGATTTGTAATTATATTTTAATAACGACGCTGAAGTGTTACTTAAATTCCTAATAATTAACCGAGGGCAATACATAAAAATGCTGTACAGAACAATTATTGGCGTATTACGTGGATAAATACACGTAAAATAATAAATACTAATAATTACAAGCAAATGTAATTCAACACTTTTCGAAGAATTCATAAGGTTCTAGTCAACTGTTACTTGTGCGTGCCTGAGACATGGACGATCACGAATTGAATTGAATTGAATTGAATTGAATTGAATTGAATCGAATCGAATCGAATCGAATCGAATCGAATCGAATCGAATCGAATCGAATCGAATCGAATTGATTTGATTTGATTTGATTTGATTCCTTATTTTACGTGGCGAGACTCGGGTCATCAGGTCCGGTCTTCCGCCTGACAACGCAAATTTCGCTCCGCTCCTTTCACCAACTAGCAGAGAAAGGAGGTATTTCTATGGCGACGAACAGGCGATTTGAATGTAGTTCAGAGGCGTCATTTAGACTTTATCTTTCACATGCAAGTAAATCTATTATCATGGAACAGGGGGTTTACTTCCCCTCCGAAGGAAGGCCTACGAAGGATTTTACTACAAATTCACGTAGACAAATTGTTTTGAACATTTTCAGAGAATGATTTCAAAATAGCTGTCACTTTACAATCTTTAAAAAAATCTAATAAGAAATAAAAGTGTAAATTTTCTCACAGGTGATGCAAGGATAAACTTTACCCCTAATGGTCTGTGGAGGCCCAGACCTCTCGGTCCCGCCATGATGAATGTGTATATTCGAATGACTTACGAGTACATATACTCATACAATCAAAATATCATTAAGGGACGATTTAATCGTTCTAGGTTTCAGAACAACATTTTTAATATGCTGACTACGTGAATATGTGGTGCGTCTGTTTCTTGCGTTGCCAATTGATAAATACGCTTCTCTTCTATCTTGGGTCGTATTCTGCGTCTTTATATTTCCACTCTTTGGAGCGTCACTTCAGTGACAACTTCCAGACTTTGTATTGCAATTACTACACAGAGATTCAGATACAATTGTATATGATGTTGGTGGGGTGTTATAGAAATGATTTAAATGCTATATTCGAGAACTTTGTATTTTTTGTAGTTTATTCCCGCAAAATATTATTTGTTATTTATGTGTTAAATTTATGTACGTCTAGTAAATTATATTTAGTATTAAATGCCTTTTTACTTGCATGTCTTACTTCCTAAGAAGGATAAATACTGTAATCGTGCGCCGGAAACCCGCGATATTTCGACAGAAAAACCTTTACCGGCGGGAGTTATTAACGAAACGTGTAAAATCTTCTTCCTATATGTAGTAAATCGATCGATCAGGGCCATGCGAGTTTGGATCGCATATTTTGATTTTTGGTTGTTCGTTACATGAAACTTGAGCATTTTTTAACATTTTCAAAAAAACTTTAATTTTTTTACTTAACTTTGTCCTCAGAAAACTTAGAGAATGTTTAAAAGAAGAGCGCAGGTCTCATTGTCGTTGAAATACCTCATTTTCCGAAAATCGTAAAAGTTCAAATTTTTTTTCGCCTTTCTACAACTACAATTTTAAAATTAATTTTTTTAAAAATTGTATGCTATTCAAAGATAGATTTTGAAGCAAGATCATTTATAATTTTTCGTAAATATGAATAGTTTTTGTGAGAAATATAATTGTAAACAATAATTTCTCGTATTCAGCTCAAAATGTTTTCTTGACATTTTTCTCGTATGTATCAAAGAAAGGTTAAAAGATCTTTCGTTAACTAAATATGCTCATTAATTCCATGAAAAATCATTGATTATCACTGTATGCGTGCAATTAAAACTCAATCGTGCAATTAAAAGTCCAGAATAGCAAATCAGAATTTAGAAAACTAATCGACATCGTTTAATTATGTATATATAATATAGACGTTTCTAGACGGCCATGAAACATAAACAAATATGTACATTACATATTACGTACATCAGAAACATGTAGTCAATGAACGTATGAAACAAAATTGTAAACGAAAAATAACTACTATTCCTTAGGCAATCATCATATTTGTAGTACAATAAGTTAAATTAGAAACTATTACCCTACTCATACTTGGCATCAGTTCTCCTAATCCAGAAGTAGGTTTATTTTGCACAAATGTTTACTTCATCTATTTGAACGTGACGGCTAAGAGAGAGCAGTGAGTATGGCAAAACTCCTAAATTTGTTTGGAAAATCAAGTAGATTGATTATAATTTAAAATATCGATATTAACATTTATGCGCCACGTCTTTAACATAAACAAGAATAACTATAAGCATATTGGTTTAACACTAGCTGACTAATGGAACAACATAAAATATTTAACATAGATAAGTGTGTTACATATAAAACATTGGGTCTTAACATATTCCAAATATAAAAAATGTAATCGGCAGCTGCACTTTCCGAGTCTGGAAAGTACACCAACAAAACGTCTGAATCGTCTTTCTCGTTTCCAACATTAACACATGTGGTTCTCTTCTACTACTTCTATGCCCTTACTTTTCGTATGAAATAATACTTTCATGGCTTTGTCAGCTTCTTCTAATACGGAATACTGAAATATTTTCCATTTTCAAAGAAGAATACTCGGTTTCTCTGATCGATAGTTTTCAACACTACGCGAATGCCTAACAAATGGGGCACGACCAATGCGCGATCTTCCTTGTCCTAACCTCGCCTCTTGCTTAAACACATACTTCCCTGCACTACTCTTCCACACATGTCGGAAGCGTAGTGCTTGTGCCGGTGGGGCGGTACACTGCTGGTGGATTCATAATTGAGGAAAACTCTGCAAGATGACGTGTAGGTCCGCGTCGGATCTCACCGTCAATCGGCGGAAGATCACCCCCGCCTCCCATGATAAAAACACACACTATACTTATGGGACTATTGACCTTGGCAGTTGATGCGCCAAAATACTCAGTCAATCCCCCTTAACAACGCGTTGTGTGGGCGATATTCACTTTTCTCTGGGCGAAGGCGCGTCGCTTTTTGACCCGCTGACGGGCGTATTCGGTACAGGTTATGCACAATTACCATGGAGAATTTACTTACTTCAGTTCTTCCCCAGCCAGAAATTGAACATGTTGTATGTGTTGGAATGATCTGGTTTTTCCCCACAAGCCGTATCTGTTGGATGTTTGCCTTCCCTATTGGCAATGGACGATCAACCTGGAAATAAAATCGTAAAACAAGAATTCAACGTGACGATGAATTTTATTCCTTTAACATTTAGACAAATTATATTGAAACTTTATGCTTACTTGTATAACAGAAATACGTATTGTTTTAATTTTTAAATTATGATCATGCCTTAATAAGCAATGAATAAACTCTGTTAAACACTGAACTAAAATATACATTTCCTGTCACAAACTTGTCCATTTTATAGTCACAGAGTGGAAGTGAATGTAGTTAGAATATTATTGTAATTTCATTTACAGTTACTGTAATTAAAAAATCTTATTTTTATATTGATTAAAATTGAACTTAGAAATGAAATCCATCTTTTTATTAGTACAATAATAATTATATTCTTCCAAAATTCGTGAAATAAGTAATAAAAGACGAGAGCTCCAATTTGTCAACAGTTTTAATTTTGAAATAATTAATTTGCATGGACTACAGTTCGGTTTTTAGTCTTTCTCTGTTGAATAAGGGTTATCTTACCAGAAATACAACGATATCGGCATCCACATTTTCTGCTCGTTTCTTGGGATAAAAATGTTGACGTACAACAGTGTACTTGAGCGTTTGCTTGTGGAATCGATTCTCATGGCCCACAATTGAACACACTTTCTCCACTGCCGGCCTGCAAGAAAATATTGTTCTTAGGTAGCTAAAACGATGTTCTACATTAGAGAGTATTTGCTGCTACGTTCTATTTAAGAGAGAGTATTTGCTATGTTATTGAAGATCTATACGAAATAATTAGTTGCTATGACGAAGCCATTTACTACAATTTAAGACTACAAGTCATCCAACTCTTGGAATTGGCACACATGTGTTCAGGTTTTGTGGAAATTATGGATAGTGAAACATGGGGTTGTTATTTTTGTCAAATATTCAGGTTGCTTAATAAATGTAGCCACCGAAAATCGCATCCTGCACATATGACAAACATGAATATTTTATGGTTTTGTATTTATTCGTTAAATTGACTGAAAAATATCTCATTTGTTCCAACATGTGGTATTATTTTCTGTTTTAAGTAGTTCCCTTAGGCACGACAAAATTCGTGTTAAAATCGTACGGTATCGTATTCGGTTGGATTTGAAAACTCAACCTCCAAATTGTTGATACCAGACAACATCTTTTATTTACCATACCAAGTAATTTTGTTTCATTTGATAATGTACTAGTTTTCTGTGGCAGCAAAAGCGACTCATCTATTGAATTACATTAAAAATATTAATAAAAACATTATTTCTTTAGGATATTGTAACAGCCCTGTTCGGATATATATATATATATATATATATATATATATATATATATATATATATATATATATATATATATGATTACAGCAAGAAAATCCTCCATATATGTATAATGCATTAGTTACAGTGTTCGCATTCACACAGAGATCCACTGAAACACGAAACACTAAAACATGGGGGAGAGAAGTCGGCAACAATGGATGACTACCCAAGAAAAAGAAACCAGGGGGATAGGCCAGCATCATCACATCACTTGGAAGTAACAATGACAGTGAAACAGGAAACTATGTAAGTAAGCGAAATACTTCAGTGTTTTGTTTTATCTTACGTAAAGAAGCTAAAAGTATAATTACTGTAGTAAGTATTTTTTTAAGTTTTCCCATTTTTTGTACGCTTCTTGTATTAATGATATGCGAAAAGAACTCTCCCTCACTTTCATAGGTGCTCTAGATTAGCAAAAGTTGTGTGAAAATGATGGGAAAATTTCGATGAATTTTTAACACTTAAGATTTTTGTTTCGGAAATAATGGCTTTTGTTTTTTTATGGATTTCGCGTTAGCGTTAAGTTCTGTAAAAATGTTACTTTTATATTAAAAACGTATGCTCGTATTTTGGTTAAAAAATTGTATCAAATATTTAAAATAGTCAAGAGTTTTTAATTCTTGGTTACTGCATTGTTGGTTTTAAAAGATGTTGAAGATTGGTTTTTGTTTTACATTCGCTCTCCTGCACAATTTGCTCAGTGCTGGTGGTTTTGTTGTTCGGACCCACATTTCAGTTATCAAGTTGTTCCACTACTGTTTCCGTTGTTTTGCAACACACAAATTTGTGCACAAACGCTCAACAAAATGGTCACTGAAAATCTGTAGATTGTTACAATTAAGCAAGGGTTTCTCAAACTTTTCAAAAATCACTCTCGTCCCGAATGACTTAAAGTTTAATATACCATCTAGATAAAATTTCAATAAATAACTGATTTAAATATTAATTTTTAAATGAATAAGTCTTTTAATTAGTGAACAAATATTTTAATTTTGCTTAGCACATAAATATAATAAAACTGTAACTCAGTTTTATGATTTATCAGTGATAATTCTTTGTGTCAATTGCATTTGATAAAAGATTAAGGTAGCATTGTAACTGCGTACACTTGTCGCTCTTCAGCTACGTGATAAATTTCTTCAGATCTTTTCAGCACAATTCATGAATATACCATAAGTTAACTACATACCCTAGGGGTACGCGCACCATAGTTTGAGAAACTCTGAGTTATTCTATATTTGCTTGGTATGCAGAGTAATGCTTAAATTCATTGCTTATAATGCAGTAAAATCAATCATAAAACACCAATCCTTTAAATTGTTTATTATGTTTCTTTTCACCGGTAAAGTATCAAATCTACAAAATCATGTAGTTAACTGAAAACTTGGGAAATTAATTTAAAAAATGAAGAACGTAATGATATTGTTCTCACATTTGAACGCAGTGGGCTGCCGAGATAATGTGACGTGAACCAATTATAGCTCCTCCACAGTACTCTTTGGAGCCGTCTGCTAGAAATACACGCACGTAAACCTGAAAGCAGAAATGAATACAGTTCATAAAGTGAAAGTTACTACTCTAGAAATGAGCTGAGTACCATTAAACAGCATAATATTCGTTGACCGAGTTTCAGACCATTTGGGAACACCCTTATACAGACCGTTGGATGACGGTGAATTATCCCGCACTGTTTGCCCAGATGCATAAGAGTAAAGAAGATTACATGTTTGTATATTGTGACAAAATCTCTACAGTGTATCACTCGAAGTTCACTTTCAGATGTGAGGTAATGCCGAAGAAGTTCACCGATGTTAAAGAAATGTTCTGTAAGGAATCCAGGGAACCCATAAAAAGACATAGAAGCGGGCTAAAATTTAGCATATGGTATGGCTTCGCACGCACCACTTTAGATTCCAAAGGGTTTCGAGTACCCAGTATTGAGCACGTTCACCATTGCAGGGACCTGTGCCCCCATCCAAGGCTTAAGAACACTGAAAGCTTTATGTAAACGTTAAGACAGACATTCATTATTACAATAATATAAAGATGTAATAGCTTCTCTAAATAGGAATAATGTGTTCAATTGAGTAACAGTAAATGAAAAGTTAAGGTGACAATGATTTATTATAGCATACTCCTTGAAAGATTCAATGGATCAATTTGTGAGAAACGTTAATAAAGATTGGAATTGCTCTTGCAAACTTCATTGGGTGTTGTTGTGATACAACACAATAGTGTGTTATTCTTCTAACATCTTAACATAAATGGGCATCTTGGAGTTTGCGAACTTGTCCGGTTACAAACTGCATTTATGTTCACATTTTATTTCAAATTCACCGTTCTGAATGGTTCCCTGGCGTTTCACGGGGCCTCAGTTTTAGGTAACCGTATGTTTACTTTTAAGTCTGAATGAAAATTTCCTGTTGTGGAGGAAGTGACGAACTTGATGGTTTGACCTAAACACGAATTTTAGAAATACTTGCATGAAAATAAATAATAATGATCATGAAAACCATTTGACTTCTGCGTTCACATTTGTTCTCCGGTTAAGTTTAAAAAAACTCACAAGCTTTAACATAGTTACCTGAACATTTATAATGAAACCTCATGAGATACAAGTGTCAACCAAGAGCTACAATGTGTGTATTTTCTTGTAAGATATGGCCATTTTTTGGACCTTGGTTTTCAGTTCCCGTTTATTTACTGATACCCAACGTTCAGTATAGAATTGATGACAACTGGTCTGAAACACGGTTTTAACGAAGCTTCCTCTGGTAGCACCTTCGAAATATTTCTTTAGTTAAAAATCTCGTAATCTAATTCTTACAATGTCAATAGTAGTTACTTCAGCAATATCTCGTATGCGAGAAAGATAAAAAAAGGAACAAAACTATTCTTACCTGGAAAGGAACTTCCTTCGATTTTGCGAGTCTTCCTTTGTAAATCTTTTTGTGTCCTCGAGATGACTTTACACCTGGAAGTAATTGTCCCTATCAGTAAACAAATCTAGTTTATTGGTCTATGAAAGATTATTTGAAGTGGCCCCACTTGTCAGAATACGTATTAATCACAAACATCTTTTAGCCAGGAAAAGGCATGGATTTTATGAAGAGTGTAAAATGGAATTAATTTTCTTTGTATCCCCGCCACGCCTATCTCCGCTTCACCCAGGTGACCACCCCACCACTTTTGCCGCTCCCTGCTACGCTCCAGCTACTCGTCCCGTATGGCTCCGCCCCTCCCCGTTGCCATCCTGACCCGCCTCGTCTGGCCTTGCATCGCCTTGGCTCGCCCCGACTATGTCCCGCCAGAACTGCTCTCCCGCAATCCGTAATTCCAACATGCATTGTGACCTTCAATTATCAAAACCTTCAGTGTATTACCCTTGAAAAATTCTTTCAGGAGGGAAACATACATGACAATAAGTAATAGGGAACGATAGAATAGAGGGGAAATGCATCCGCGCAAAAACTAAAAATATATAGTACAACGCGGAAAGAGATTAAAAGAACAAGTATTCAAGAAACGAGAACTTTCAAAAGACAAAATACTGATTTTTAGTACATAATAAACCAAATTGCAACACAAAATATGAAGTCTAAAGGGAAAATAACATTGGTACAGGTATGGAAATGGTTCTAAATTAGACCACAGGCATGGAATCAAAGCTGGAAGCCGACCAAATTAAATATTATAAATACTATGTATACTACATATACGTGTATGATACGTTAATGCACTTTTGGAACCGGTGTATTTTTTGTTCAAAAATTTCATTACATTTTCAAAACTAAAATTACTCGGAGCTAATTAAAATTAAAGCTATTGTTTAGGAGACTATTTGATAATAGTAATAACAGTATAAGTAAATGTAGAATTCTACTATTCTTCAAGTAAAGATAGAAATAGAATACGTATTTACGGATGGCAGAAAGAAAATAAGAGAAAAAGTAAGTCGGCAAGATGAGGAGCAAGAAGAACACAGAAAAAGGAATAAAAATCGGTGAAAGAAAAAAAGAGAGGAGGTACAACAAGACACGATAATGAGAAAAAGAAACATAGTCCAGGATGGGATGTGGGAAGAACGAAGAAAACAAAAGAATGGAAAAGGAGAAAGTAAAAAGAAGTAAATAGAGCAGACAAGGTATGAAATAAAATATTCAATCATCCTTTACCCTTAGTGTTTTCTTACCCAAGTGACTAGTTACGTAGCTAGGTCGAATTCTGCCGCTGTTTGGAGGAGAAATCTAGCAGGCGGCTGCTTTCATTTGTAGTTCTCCGTGGTTTCTTGATGAATGCCGGTGCAGTAACCTAACAAAAGGGCCACGGACCGCGCGCAATATTTCCGTCTTCTTCCACGACTTACACTTACTTGCACTACACTACCACGCATGTCGGCAGACTGGTCGAGAGTTTAAAACTCGTCACGGCTGGGACGGTGCCGCAAAGTTGCTCGATATCTGGTTGGGGAAAGCCGACGATAGGTCGGCACCAGATCTCACCATTCAGCGAGGGGAGGTTGAATTGAATTGAATTGTATTTGCCTTATTTTACGTGGCGAGACTCGGGCCATCAGGCCCGCTCTT